AGACAAAAAAAATGTTGAGAGAAAAGAAGCAGAGACTGAATATTTAGAAAAACCAATACTCGTTGAGGTGAAAGAACAGAGTTCTTTGAAAGAAACAGGGAGGAGAAGCAGTTCAGAGATGTAACTTAGAAGAGGAAGGAGAGACTCTCAATGAAGAGATGGTCAGTTGGGCTGGAGTTACTGGAGGTGTCAGGAATTTAATGGTGGCTGTTCATGAACTCTAGCATTGGCAGAGTCGAACAAAGTTTACAAAGGTAACAAAGATGTGATGGATGGAGAGAACTTGGAGTTTCAGAAAAATGACACTTATTACAAGTACATATTTTTAGCATCCTAAGATCTATAAAGAACACCCCTTCAGATTATTAGGCTATCTACCTAAAACACCATTTATGAACAACATCAACTTCAAATATTAGACCTAAATTTCTCATTCATTCATTTATTCATTCATTCGTCAATTAATTCATTCATCCTTCCATCCACTCAAACAAGCACAATGCCATGGGCATTGGGATTCCAAAACAAGAGTGATTTGTGGTCTCTATCTTCAAGAAGACATCAACCTGTCAGTCTGGGTCAGAAATACAAATAAAGAGCCCCAAAGTGTACAGTTGCTCCAGCACAGTCTCCGGGGACCAAGGAAGTCCAAAGGACAAACTGGAATTTCCTCCAGTCCCAGGCTTAGAACTAGCTAACAGTGCCAGCAAAGACTGCAAAATGTTGCCCCATCCACAGTACAGTGAAAATCAGAATAGGTTCCACCAAGAAAAGTCTGTTAGCCCCCTGCACATATATCAAATAGCAATTGACAAACTCAGACAAATACAGGATAAAGAAATTGGATAAAAGAAGCTGAAGCAACAGATAACTCAAAGAACTGAGGAACCAAACTAGCATTGTTTTTTCTTTTCATCAAAAACATTCTCCTTGCTTTAATTGCAACTGGTGACTACATGGAAAATTCATAGCAATACAGTTTAAGGGTTTTTTGTTACTGCAGATAAAACTCACACACCATCTTTCTTCACATGAGACGTACAAAGAAAGTGATGTCAAATAGATACGACCCAATACAGCTCAAGCATGAAAACCATATGACTTATCCTTATGGCCACAGCACAAGCTAAGGATAGATGCTGGGATTACTCCTTCTGCAAAGCAGAAACAAGGCAAGATTGCTAATGTCATCCTGATTCACCATGTGCCGCCAAGACTGTTCTCCTTTCAGCAAAATTGCTGAACTGTGTGGTTGAGGCTGGATGATTTCCACACAAAAGGACTCTTCATCACACACAAATCAGAAACAGCAGAAGAATCTGTGAGTCTACAACAGATGTGCCATGTTGAAGAGTCCCCTCCACATGGGCAGGTGCCAGAAGAACAAGTGGAAGAACAGATCAGCCCAGCATGGGCCACTCGTAGTGAAAGAAATTGGCAAATCTACTTACAGGCCTTGCCTCAAATCTGCCAGACCTGGTGTTCAACAAGGCTGTGAAACAGAAAGGAGCGATACTCAATTATCCATTATCGTATAGAAATCACACACTTTTGGGCACTCCTCAGGCTTCAAGTCATATGCGATTATCACCGTCATGGCCAATTAGCATTGACAAAAAGCCACAACATACCAGTGCTATACTGCCCAACAGAACTTACAGGCAGCTAACTCCTGCCAGGCAGTAACTACCACTGTTTCAAGACAATGAGAGTGCCCAGGTACCTTCTCTTCCTGGGGCGAATGGTGGCTCTGGGAGAAGGAAAAGAAAACCTGAAATGAATTACACCTGAGAGCACCTTCCTCCTTAAGGGAGGGTCTGGCCTCCCACACTATCAGCTGAAGAGGGTATTAAGACGAGATGAGCCAGGAAAATTACCCCATGTCGCCATGACCATCAAACATGGAGCATGAATGGATACACATACGCAACTAAACTTCATTTTGTGGGGCTTGTGGTAAAGAACTCTCAGTGGATGTCCACGTCCAAGAGAGAAGAGCTACTTCAGACAATAAGAAGAGGTTATAATTCCCACTAGTCCTTGGAATCTACAATTTTTATGGCTAAAAGGGCTTTTTTAGGTTTATCTGCTTGGACTCCTGAATTATAGTGGTTAAGAAACTGAGACTCAGAGACAGGACATTTAACATGACATAAAAATGATTCCAATAGCTAAAAGATGATATTTACCTGGCCCTGATACTGACATGGATGTTCATGCTCATGAAGTCAAGTGGAGTATTTGTGGGAAATGAGTGCCCCATACCTCGTAATAGATACCAAGTTCCTAACTATATCTAATATAATGTAAGAACAATGAGTTCCAAGACCGTTTTTGCTTTCTCACCAGGAAGAGGTGATGACTGGGACCTGAACGAGGAGGCCCACGAACTGCAGGGTCTTCAGTACTGACTTCTGGTAATGAGTCACCTCTGTTTTAGCCTTCAGAATGGTATTCTATGGCTATCCTCAAAAGACAAGAGACAAAAGTTCTGGAAGGGATGTGGAGAAAAGGAAACCCCTGGGCCTGCTTGTGGGAACATAAACTGGTACAGTCACTATGGAAAACAGTACAAAGGTTCCTCAACAAATTAAAAATAAAACTACCCTATGATCCAGCCACTCCACTTCTAAGTATTTATCCAAAGGAAATGAAAACACAATGTCAGCAATATCTGCACCCTCGCGTTCACAGCAGCATTATTTACAAGAGCCAAGACATGTTAACCATCTCAGTGTCCCTCAATGGAGGAATGGAAAAAGAAGCTGTGATATATATATATATATATGTTTGTACACACACACAATAGACTATTACTCAGTCATAAAAAATATAGAAATCCTGCCATTTGCAACAACTTGGATGGCCCTTGAAGGCATTATGCTAAGTGAAGTAAGTCACACAGAGAAAGACAAATACTATGGGATCTTATTTATATGTGGAATCTAAGCAAGCAAGTAAGTAAAGGGAAAGGGAAGACTCAGAAAAAGAGATCAGATTTGCAGTTACATGAGACAGAGGATGGAGGGAAGGGGAACTGGATGAAGGTGGTGAAAAGGTACAAACTTCCAGTTATTAGATAAATACGTACCAGGGATGTAATGTACAGCATGATGGTTCCAGCTGACACTGCTGCATAATATACAAGAAAGTCGTTGGGAGGGTAGATCTTAAGAATTCCCATCACAAGAAAAAAAAACACATTTTTTCTTTTCTCTGTAGCTATACAAAATAATGGAATGTTAACTAAACTTATTGTGGTAATGATTTCACAATAAATGTAAGTGAGATCACTTCGCTTACCCAGTGTTCTGTGTCAATTATATCTCAATAAAACTAGAATGAAGGGAATGGCATTTTCACCTGAGCATACCACATCTGAGTTTCCTTGAAGGACGGAAGCTTCTCTGAAAGCTGAGGTCTTCGGGTGCTATGGTTATGGGAAGGCCCCGTTGAGAGAGCAGAAGGAGGGCGAAGAGCAGCAGTGGTTTAGTGGGCTGGCTTCAGAGCCGGATTGTCTGGGTCCAAATCCCAGCGCTGCCCCCTTGCTAACTGAGGAAGTTGGACAACTCAGTGAACCTCTTATTGCTTTCTTTTCTATCAAAAGGGGATGATAATGGCAACCTCATACAGATGTTGGGAGGACCAAACGAAACAAGAGGGAAAACAATGTCTTAAAGTTTGAGGGCTAGAAATTTACGTATTTCAAAAAAATAGCCATTTTGTCTTAAAATTGAGAAATGCTGCCCTTGTGTGTACCTTGCCATGAAATTCCCTCTATCAGCATCTCCAAGATAACACTACCTTGGGCACTACTACTTAATTATAAGATGCTTAATATAATGGATGTAGCAGACAATTTCTGGCAGAGCAAGGAATAGAATCTACAGCCCTTTCCTTTAATCTAGGTGTCTTTAGAAGGTTGTCTTTCTACATTCACTCACGGTTTTGTAAGATGTCCAGTATTTTCTTGCCAGTGAGTGTAAATTTACATCCAGAGTCACAACCCCAAATTTATCTTTCCTCTCACCCATAGGTACAATATAAATTAGGCAGAGCCTAAATTGTCATTTTCTGGTTTTCTATGACTTGATGAGAAAGGCCTATGACTTGATGAGAAAGATGCCACTTCTATTTTGAGGTCAAGTGCCACTTAACTACGCCACAGATCTGTTATTTTGATATTCCTGTAAATGGGTTCATACTTTTTAGCAATAGGTATGTTTTAAGTTTTTTTTAAGGTAAATACAGAGAGAGGAAAAAAACCCAAATATCAACTGTATCATTTAAAAGCAGTGATGAGCAAATGGTTATGAAATGCACTCAGCATGTCTGTTCTTGTATCTAGGGAATAGTACAATAGTACAACATGCTTTATTTTGCACTAAACTTTTGATTAAAGGGGACTGTCAAATAAGTCAGGAAACCAGGATGACAACAGTGCCTGTCACCTGCAACAGGACATATTCTGGTCAAAAACTGCCTTCAAAGGGCTGCATGGGTGGCTCAGTCGGTTAAGCATCTGTCTTCAGCTCAGGTCATGATCCCAGGGTCCTGGGATCGAGCCCCACATCAGGCTCCCTTGCTCAGTGGGGAGCCTGCTTCTCCCTCTCCCACTCCCCCTGCTTGTGCTCACTCTCTCTCAAATAAATAAAATAAAATCTTAAAAAAAAAAACAAACCGCCTTCAAGTAAGAATGTCCAGTTTCTAGCCATTCAGTCCAGTGCTTTTATTCTATAAAATTCTGTCTTCTACACCATATAAGAAATCAGGAAGAAATATGTATTCTCAAGCATCTTACCTAATTTGCATTTACTAGGTAGTTTATATGACATATCTCAGGCATACCACCAAACTAACCACCAAATAATAGGCTGTCAAGTTTACTTCATGTATTTGGCAATTACCGAAGGACATTCACTTAATTGCATTTTTCACAAAAAGAAACAATTATTACAACATTTGACTTTAATATAAAAATTCAAATTATTTAAAACCACCTTTGCTTTTTTTTTTTTTTTCAGTTTGTCTGTGTTTTACTGACGCCAGTGCTCAGACTTTGACCGCGTACTTCCGCAGCGGGTACAGCCGCTCCTTCCGCTGCTGCTTCTTGGTCTTCAGGTTCTCCTCGTGCTTGTTCAGCCGGCGGCGCATGGCACGTGTCTTCTTGGGTCGCAGATCCAGGGGCTTGTACTTCTTACCCTTGTAGAATTTCCTGAGGTTCTCTTTCTGCGTCTGGTTGATGACTGTGAGAACACGGGCGATGGATTTGCGAACAACTCGGATCTTGGAGAGCTTGGAAGCCGCGCTGCCTGTCACTTTGGCGACGCGCAGCTGGGACAGCTCCACCTTCAGGTCTTCCAGCTGTTTAAGCAGCTCCTCTTCTTGCCGCGAAGGTCTCGAGCCTTAATCTTGGCCATGTCTGCACAATCTGCCGCTGCCGCCGCCGGAAAAAACCACCTTTGCTTTCCTCATTATAAGCTAATATCTTTAATGTGCTACTGTCTTATTTCATTCCCATAGTTTCAAAAATGCATAAAATCATCTTTTATATTTTAACCTGCCAAAACTTTATATTCTAATACCAAAGAAATTTGGGGGAAAATATGTTTGAATATGAATTTATTATTCCATGCACAGTTATATGAATAGATCCAGGTTTGCAAATGAAATGCATATAACTATTGCCTTTAAATCACACACAGGAAAATGTTAATATGAACACAGCAGTTTTTCCAGAATAGCTAAAATATGACAGATCCATCATATTAGAAAGATTTCTCACTGAAGATTGTAGAGGGTGTCTTTTTTTTCTCCTTTCCTTTTTCTGGATCTAAGAATATTCATTTCTGAGTTCTATTGGTTCTGCCCCCCATCCTTTGGTCACATTCTCTTGTCACTTCAGAACTTCTTGGCATCTACCTCCTCATCTGAAAAAGAATACAAGGAGCTGGACATGACCCCAGAGTGATTTCAGAAAGATGAAGCTGGTCTCAATAGTGATACAGATACAAGATCAGTAAGTCAAGCATCTCCATTAGTGGTATATGCTCCAGTTTAGATGAGGTAATCCTACAATTCATACAATCTTAGTCCTTTTGTTTTCCTTCTCCTCTTTTCCCTCTCCTCTCCTCTCCCTCTGTTTCTTTGTATCAAATCAGATAAGAAAATAAGAAACTTTCAATTCAATCAAGAACACTTGAAACACTTTCAGGCTATATGTGATGACAGATCTTAACAGCCCCACTGCTTAGTGATCAGTCACTTTGATGTTAGCAAAGAAAAAACAGGCAAAGGGAAAAGAATCTACAATTGTGACCTGAAACATGAAAATAAGTCTGCTTCCTTTTTACCATTTCCCTCCTCTTTAATAACTCCACCATGTTGTATTAAAATATTTGTAACGTAAAATTTACCATTTTAACCGCTGTTAAGTGTGCAGGTCTAAGACATTAAGTATGTCCACATTGGTACACAACCATCACCACTATGCATCTCCAGAAATTCTTCATCTTGCAAAACTGAAACTCTGTAACTATTCAGCAATAAAGCAACCTTTTTATTTTAATTTTCTTAATGGCCAACATATGTCAGCCCATCTTTTTAGCATTTGCTATCTACTTATCTGGTAATAGGGAAGTTGAAGATGATGTGTTTGCCCCCAGGGAGTTGACACGTTAAGACAGAAGACAGACAAAGATGCTGCTTCACAAGCCACTCACTGAGCACACACCTGACACTTAGACAGGTGCTGCATTTAAGTTAATTTCAAAGTAGAATGACTGATGGTTTTGTTTCAAAGTTCTCACTAGTAATACACGATACATAGCTCTCATCCAGGGGAAGATGCTATTCTTAAAAATGATAAATTATTTTAAAAGAAAGATAGGGTGTTGCTATTTTAATGGCACTTCTCAATGTTATTTTTGAGGGTTCACTGTTTTTTTTCTTACAAAAAATAATTTTATTTCATATTTTTAAGTATTTTAGTTTAAATTTAAGATTTTAATATTAATTTTAGTATTTAAATACTTTTATTTGGTAATTTTAAAGCCAACTCAGAGAGGCATTGTCAATTCCCTAAAAGCCCAAAGCATCCTAGCATGGACCTTGGACTACTGTTGGCTCCTAGTAAGAGAGGCAGTGTTGGAAATGAGGACCCCTGTGTCCTTGGGGCTGTGTATGGGCCCCCAAGCCACCCTCCTTTCCAATTCTGTCATAGCAGGATGTGACAAAAAGCACTTCAAAACTTCCAAATCCAGCCTAAGAACGGGTTAAGATGCAATTTGCCCTTATTAACAAACACTACATTTCTCTGGAAATTGGTTGCATCACTCACAAACAAACACCTCTTACTCACCTTTCTGTCTCAGCGGGTCAAGCACTGCAAATAGTCAGGCCAATTTTTTCTTTTTTTAAATGGGAACCAGGTGTTGTTGTTGTTGTTTTCATTGTTGTTCTTGTTCTATGGCACCAAATAGAAAGAGACATGCTTATATATTCTAAATTGACTATTTGTGTTCTCTTTGCTAGTGATTATTCATTTCAGTTGGACAGTTATTCATGTAAGCAATTTGCCACCATGATGACTGAGAAAAAATACTGAAGTGCTAGGCTTTTAAAATGGTAATATGTGGAAAGAGATATAATTCTCTTGCAAAACATATTCCTCAAGTTTTATATTGGGTCTCTGGTGATATGGACCATAAAATCGTGCTAGCTAGTCCAAATTGTTTTTATTGAAATTCTGGTTTGGGATAACAAGGACTGAATCTTTTAAAAGCTCATTTGGAATACAAATATTTGGGCTCTAGCCACAGGACCTCTATGAAGATATCTAGAATTTAGGACGATAGCACCAATGGAAAAGTGCATTTCTTCAGTTCAATTTTCTCCTGGAAAATGACATACATGTTGCTTTACACAGTTGCTGTTACTGCTGCTTCATGAAATTCCTCAAGAAATGATCTCTGCGAAAGGAGTTTGTTCAGTGCACTCTTTCTGCTGGTGCTTTGAGCCTGTTACTGAATTTCTATGGGAATGAAAGGTGGAGACCGCCTAGCGAAGCCAAGGTTTTACAAACCTGCCTTTGCTTGGCCTCCCAGAAAGCCATGCAATTGACCTCATTAGATCTGTCACTAGCTGGCTTAATTCTGGGCCTCCCTCTCTAGCCTAAAATAACATCGGAACTCTCCAGGTCTGAGTCCCAGACACTATCTTCACAGAATATGTATCACAGACACAGGAGTTTGTGGAGACCATAGCATGAAGCGACACTGCAGAGGAGTTACGGTGACCCAAGAGGACCAAAGGGACACCTTCTGAGGAGGCTGGACTGCCTCGATATTGCTGTCTCTTGGCTTCATCTTGTCTAGTTCACAGGATGCTTGTTAAGGGCAGTTAATTCAGGCCTGGAAGTACCTGTTTGTCCACGCTGGACAAAATACACAGTGTAGAATCTCAATGTCAAGAAACAGCTTGGAGAAAAATTCCAGTCCCAACATCTCTGGAGAAACTGAGACCTAAAATGGTTTAGTTGCAGACATGAGCCAAAACTAAGCCTGGTGTGCTGATTCTCCATCTACTCAATTTTCCTCTAAGTCCTTTATAGAATTATGCCATGTATCTGGTCCTTCTCTATGGAAGGCAATTTTTTAAAAAATAGAATAAGGACTAGGAAACCTTTTTATTTATTTATTTTTTTAAAAAAGATTTTATTTATTTATTTATTTGACAGAGAGAGAGGTAGCGAGAGCAGGAACACAAGCAGGGGGAGTGGGAGAGGGAGAAGCAGGCTCCCCGCAGAGCTGGGAGCCCGATGCGGGACTCGATCCCAGGACTCTGGGATCATGACCTGAGCCGAAGGCAGACGCTTAACGACTGAGCCACCCAGGCGCCCAGGAGACCTTTTTATATATAAAGGTATGAACTGCATCCTCAAAGGGTCCGCTTTTCTCTAATCCTTTTAAACCATCTTTTATCATCTGTATGTTAGCTTCTCCCCAACAAGAAATCTATAAAATGAAATTCCTCTATCTCATTCTATCAAATTGAACCGCACATTAATTGAAAGCTTAAAGAATTATTGTAATGACTTACTATTTTACTTAAATGATTTTCAAATTTTGAGATGGAGCCAAATACCTTTCTGGAGACAAAAAAAAAAAGCAATTCACAGAAGTGATAGATATTTGGCAAGATTTGCAGGTAACAGATTTTGTAAATGTACATGTTTGAGGAGGTTCTCTTAGAGAATATTCTTAAAGACATCATGCTTGAAAGAAAGCTTAAAGCAGTATTATGTTCATAAAAATTAACTGCTCTCTTAGCGAACATACCAGACCTAGATTCATGTTTGAAAATGCTTCTTTCATAGCAGATTTGTCAGAGTTGGCTAAAATTCTACAATAAAGTTTTATAATGATATAATCGTAAGATTAAAAGGGACATCAAAAGGTCCAATTTTTACTTCTATAATTTCTCTACTCCATAGGTGGTTCCTCAGTTAAGAGACAGCATTATGCTGGGCTGGTCTGATCTCTACGCCCCCTCAAAATCAAAAGACTGTTACAAAAAAAAAAAAAAAACTTTTCTGGGATGGATTATAGTATTTGATATTTCCAGTACTAGCCTGAATTTGTAAGACATTTTCCTAGGTTCCCTGCGTAGTTATGTTAAGTTACCAAGAAGTCATTTCTATGTCTCACCCATCAGCTGGTATAATTACAGGGCCACTGTATTTTAGTTCTCATTTAGTGCTATGTTCTAGGCACTGTTACTAAGCACTCAACATGCATCAGCTCTAATGCTAATCAATCCACACAGCAATAAGTCATTATTCATTGCCATTGTCCAGTTTAGGAGACTGAGGTTTGAGGAACTTAGATGACTTGCCCAAGGTCTCATTGCTATCACTGTTAGAATTTGAACCCGCTTCTATCCAGACCATATGTTCTTTACCCTTCTCCACAGCCTCCCTAGCAGATACATAGCCTGGAGGAACCAAGATACAGATACATGTTGATAATACAAAGGATGTTAGGACCAAGGGAGCCAGCAGAGTCTGAATGTGTGGCCTCAGGGACACTTGATGATTTCTGACACATTCTGCCTAAAGCAATAGCAATCCTTAGCCAGTGCCTGATGATTTTGGAGGACTTTTGTTTTCTGCAACATCTAAATCTATCGATCAAGAAACACGTATCAAGTGCCTACTATGTAAAAGTTCCTGTAGGTACAATTGCCAGATAAAATGCAATATAAATATGTCCACATCCAAGTATTTCAATGAGACATACTTAAAAAGTCTTCATCGTTCATCTGAAATTCAAATTTAACTGGGAATCCTGTCTGGTTTTGTTTTGTTTTCGCTAAATCTGGCAGCCCTGCCAGTAGGTGATATATACAGTTGCTTTGTTTCATATTGGTTTTAATTGTCCCTCTCCCTCT